CCCGAAACAATGCCATGGTTGCCTTGTCGCCACTAGAAAAGCAACGCTCAGCATGCCGGAGCATGCCGGTAGTTTCACGAGCAGTGTTGCTTGGAAAGAAGGAATTGCAACGACGGTGAGCAATGATTAGAACCCTGCTGATGGATAAATAGGGACCGGGCCGACGTGCACACGTCAACCCCAGAACACACTTGTCATAGCAACGAATAGCAACGATAAACTGACGGAGGTACAGGCTTAATGCGTTGGGCAGTTTAAATATGATCCATACGGATGTTCCCGGGAACTCAAGAAGGGGACAATCCAGATAGAGATGGCATCGTATTCATAAGGGGTAGCGGAACCCATTGATTCAGAGTATCCTAGGAATGCTGTGACTTTTCAAATGAAACAAGGCAGCCCGATGTTCCAGGTAAAACAAGTAGGGCTCATCGCTGACAACTTAGATGGACTATAAGAGGAATGGCCTAACGTGGTATGGACAGGCAGGGACGACTCTACGAGGATGCACTATAGCAGAACAAATTTCGTATCACAGCCACTGTGTGCTTTTCCGAGAAGACCTGGATGAATTGCACTCTTCAAGAAACAAATTATTAACTTGAAATTGAACAGGGAAAGCCCATGGTGATCATTTAGTTTTCGGGGACTGGCGTAGAAATGGAAAAGAAATTTGGCGAGAAAGGGTCATTTCAATTGTTCAACTCCGTACAATACTTGAAATGCATAGGACAAGCTTAATTTGCTCTAGCTGATAGGAGACTATGATGCTGTAGTCTGAGACGTCCATTGCCGCTTTAGAGTCGATTCCTTTAATAAACCAATGATTAACATCCCCTTTCGGTAAGTTGAACAACACCTCAAAAGATTATGGATGTTGCGCTGCTAGATTTTATACCTCCGATAAAACGCAATGCCTCAGAAGGATCTGTGGAATCTGAAATGTTGGATGTTGCATTGCATGCTACAGACTGGGATTAACATCTGGCAAGCACGCCCAAATCTTTATGCGATGCATGGGGCGAGCAAAGTTTCGATGAGTCTAATCAAGCATTACAGTCAGACTTCCAGTAACCTGCATCAACGCGATGCGATATTTTGCAACACGGCATGCAAGTTCATCTTCCGTAGTTTGAGTTTAAGCTGGCATCTTCACACCGTGCAGACCTATTACTGAGTGCCACGAAAGGCTGTTCACATCCAGCCTAGAGCAAAGTATGAAAGGGCGATGTGCCAAAACCCCGCAACCTACATATCTGCTTCTAGAAATGCTCTGCTTACATGTACAACAGTTTCGCTGAGGCCTGTACTGGAACCGATGGCTGTGGTGCAGCGCGGATACCCTTGAACGTGGTCCCCGGCTCAGAAAGAAAGATAAGTGGTGGCGCGGATACCCTCGAATGGGGCCCCCGACTCAATCACAAGAGAGAAAGAGAAGTGGCGGCTCGGGTGCCCTCGCACGGGGTCCCCGGCGCGCGCACGAGAAGTGTCAAGAGTAAAGCATCCTCAGGGATCCGCCAGGTGTCGGCCCAGCCCCGCGGCCTCTGAAGACCGCCGGAGCACCGCGCTCGCGTTTTCGCGTTGCAGCTCAATGCGCAAGGCTTGAAACAGCCGCTTCGTCTCATCAGCTGCTGCCGGACCGGACAGCGATGGCCGCAGCCAAGTCTTTCCAGACGTGCAGGGCGGTCACCTGAAGCTTCAAGGTATTAATGTGGCTGCGTTCTTGGCTTTGTGATCTCAGCTGGGCGAACACCTGACTCCACCACATTGGCCAGCTGCCCAGGTCGCACGCCGCATGCGAAAGCAAGGTCGAACGCAGCGCAGCCGCGCAAGCCCTAGCGCGGCACCCAGACATCCGCCGAGCTCCACCAGCCACCCCGTCTTCAGCTGAGCCTCCGTCTTCCGGCCGCAGGGGCAGCAAGCCTGCCTTCTCGACCTCAGGGCTGAGAGCGTGCAGTCGACCCAGGCCAGGCGCACGCAGCTGAGCCAGCAAGGCTCTGTCCCGCGCCTTGGACAGCTGTTGCTGTTGGGTTTGAGGCGGCACTGGGACAGGGGCCCTGTCAGTAAGAAGCACGCAGGCACTGAACTCAGCGACAGCCCCGGCCAGTCAGCACGGTAGTTGCCCTCAAGCCACAATTTGCTTGCCTCGCCTCCATCCTCAGCGACCCAGCGCAAAGCCGCTCCAGGCAACCACGAACCTCGGAGTCAAAAGAGGGCATAGACCACTTTGCAGAAAGCCCCAACGCCGGAGCAGCAAGAGGCCCGTCTGAGGGTCACGGAGAGCTGCTATTGCTTGGAGAAGCATTTTAAGTTTTAACCGATTTTAACTTTTTCCACTCTTGCAGCGCAGGTGAACTAGGCGGTGTCGCCGACAGGTGCCCCACTGACACAGAGTGAGCCAGAAGCGTTGATGCGGATACGTGCAGGGAAGCCCGGGTGTCAATGGAGGCGGCTCCAATTAATCCAGCCCCGCCTTCAAGAACAGGAGGGCTCACCAGTGCCGCACAGGCGAGAGACAGCTTGCCTTTAGTTGTCAGGCTGCAGCTTCGGCTTCCTCATCATCAGTCCCACAGCTCCTCCCACTCACCAGCAAGCCAGCGATGGCACCGGGGAAGAGAAAATGGTAGCGCAGGCAGGCATGCCCGGCTTGCCCTCCAGCGCGCGCGGCGCAACATGTCCGTAGCCGGCCTGCACCAGGGGTGAATGCTAGGGAAGCGCTTGGACACCAGCAGGCCACAAACGGCGCAGGGGCTTGCAAGTGGGCGGCCAGCACGGCGCCCTGGAACACCCTGCAGCGACAGCATCAAGGTGCGGTCCTGCCTGGCGGCCCAGGACGCCCAGGATGACTGGCCACACCCACTCGTTGTCCTTGCATTGCCAGCCACCCCGTCCACTGTCCAGATGTCGCCGACGCAGGCGAACTCGAGCTCCAGCTCGCCAGGATCCCATGTAATGAGCTGCCCGGCCTCCCGGCTGTTCAGGGCCACCGTGAGCTGTCGCCGGGTTTATCTCCCTGTTCGGCAGCTCAATGAAACACGGCAGCTCGCATGTGGGCCTCGCAGCAGTCACAGCTGCGAAAACGAGCACGAGGAGCCAGCAGCAGCCGCGGAGGCCAGGCAGCCGACAGCCACACGAGCATGGCGCCATCTTGCCATCTCTGTTCAGTAGCAAACCCAAGTCAGGGTCAAAAATACCTACTTGGGCTCAAATGTCACGTGAGGTCACCAGCACTGTGCTCTGAGCGTTGAGTCACACAACACTATTGGCGGGAAACACAACTGCACATTCATATTCAAGTCATAAGTTTCATACCGTGAGCTTAGGTGCTAAAATTTAGGAACCTACGGAGACATTGGTGTCAACGCTGGTGGATGGGTGAAACCTACATCCAGTTGACAGACAATCAGGACCCAAGACATCTAATTACCAGCCAAAGCTTTTTGGGGGGATGAAATTCAGCCTTGAAAAAGCCTTGCTGTCAGCAAAAACAGCAACGATGTTTAGAACTGGAAAGCAACAATTCATTGTGGTTATTCTTGCGCTCGTATCGTGTTCTGGTATGACGCTATCAAGTTAACCAAATCTACGGGAATGTACTCAGTAAAGAAACAAGAACCTTCAAGTATCTTCTGAATGCCAACGAATTACCAGCAACAGAAAAGAAATAAACCGAACACACAAGAGTCTATACACTTTCATCACTGACTGTAAGAAAACTGCTTTGAGACTGCCGATGCGTCCAATCAAAATGTGGGAGTCTGGCAATCTTGTTACACTGCTACTTCGCACTTCATTGTTCAAACTCAGAATTGCGCAGCGACATGCTGAACTATGGCTGCAAACTCTAACGAAACGTAAAACATCTCCATCGTCATCATTGTCTGAGCAGAGGTGGAACTACAATCCATGATAAAGGCGGTGGCCACTCTACCCCCCCTGTGGAATTGGCAAGACAGCATTTCATCATGAACTCCGGACAATAAGTGACAAAGAGTCAAAAATGGGAAAACGGTGTGGTCAAGAAAGTAGAAAGCAGAGGCAACTAGAAAAGAATGGAGGCACAACTCCCAATGCTACTGCCAGGTTCAAAAATGAGGACGGATGACACACAACATTGAGGGCAAGAACCCAACCCATTATTTTGGCTGGGCGGTGGGTGGTTTCACGGCATTTGTAATGGTCACCATCGAGGCTGCGACTCTTCTGATTTGAAATTACTCCGAAGGATAATGTTACCGTTACTGTGGTCGCACAGCCAACTGCCAACGCAAAGAACTACAAGTTGCTGGCTGAATAAATAACATGTCTGCTGCGTGAGGCCGTAGCATTTGGTTTTCTCTCTTCGTCAGGGCGCAAGCGGAAAACTTGGTGCTTAGCAAGGTTTAGCGATCGGTGAAACACAGGCACGCCGCACGCCTGCAGGACGCATGTTCTTGCGGGATGCTTTCAAGGGGCGCACAAGCAGTGACTTCCGGGCACGATGCAGATCCTCAAACATCTGGCTTGACGTTGATTATGGTGACATCATCATCTTCGAGTCAAACATTGCGCATTTCACTCTTGAAATCACCTGTCCCGCTTGTAAGTCTGAACCTTTGGACAGCTTGGCTAGGCTCACACTTCTTTGCAGCTTGGGCTTCAGGGATTGGATTTGTTTGTTTTGCGGCTCCTTTTTCCTCCTGCCTGTTGGTTGGTTGGAAAGCACAATTGCGCAGGAGCGGAGAAGGTAAACAAACACGCAGCACCTCAAGCTGACTTCCCGTACATCACATTGGTTCGGCTCTGTGTCTTCCAACAGCCCTGCGGAGTACACGAGCCTGACCCTACCTTCTCAAACAACGCATTTTCTCTTACATCCCTCAGCAGTCTCCGCACACGATCAGCTGAGGAAGACACCCATGAAGATGAAGCCGACCCGGTAGCGTAGCTGGCCGGTTCATTACTAGAAGCTCCCAAGACAGGCGGAGGCGATGAACACACATTGCAAAACGCTTGGTCATCTAACAACGCTCGTCTTGAACACTCGTCACCTCCTCATCTGCAACAGGTCCTTGCTGAGGCGCAGGCACTACCCCCATTTCAAGCGGAGTCACACGTTCCACCCCCGAGGCATTCTCCAGCGGCATGATGACATCTCCATGCCCTTCATCTTCCCCCAACGCATGCAACGGCCACCGAAGCCATGATTGCTTTTGCCCTCTCAGCCAGTTCAGCGGGCGCACCGTCCGGGTTGCTGATGCACTGCGCCAAAACGTCTGTGCTTCCAGCGAGCCATTCTCACCTCGCATGGTTTCCCTTGGAACTGCCGAGGCGTCATGCTCCAGGGGCGAGGTGACACCCCCTTGAAGACGCAACTCCATGCGAAACTGACCCAACGTCTCCACATCAAAAGCCGTGAAGGCCGCCTCGTTACTTGTGACCTTTAACGAAAGGCTCTCCAAAGATGAGGTTTTGGTGAACAGTCCAGGGTCCAAGATGGGACCTCCCTCCCGTTCATCTCTGCGCTGCTGGAACAGGGCCGGGACTGAACTCCCAAAGCGATCGGGAACCATCTCTTCCTCAATGGCTCTCTCAAGGAACAACCGGTACCACGCCGAGACAATCTCCTGCGGGACCCCAGGGGAAACCAACCAATGCCTCAGGATCCTCCACAGCCATGGCTTGAGAAGCTTCAACCACCTCGGCATCGCGCGCCGCCTGCCAATGTCTTGTTCATCTTCTCCCAGGGTTCGCTCCGCCGAAGTGGGTTCATCAGACATGTCTGTAATGGTCGACTCCACCGTGACGGCCTTTGACGCTGCCGCCGCGGTCACATCGCAGAAACATTGTCCAACCACAGTGCCCTGATCATCCTTGACATTGTACGCTACCCAGATCGTTTCGGTCGCCCGAATTAGCCACGTGCCCAAGTCCTGCACCACCCTCCTCCTTTCCCAAGACTGGGCCACTGCTGCTTGGTACTGGCCCCATCTCTCCAGGTCCTCGTTCTCCGCTTGAGCCTCCATTTCTCTGTCACGGCGGAGACAATCTTGCAGTTGCTCTTCTTCATCTTCAGTAGCCATCCTCCACGTGCCGCCTTCCAGGACCCGATGGGCCCGATGGGTTTCCACAAGTTCCAAGCTAGATTTGTGAATCATCCTTCCAACCATCATCCTCGCCAAAGTCCCTGTGGAGCAGGTACAAGCGGACGATGTCCCAATTCTCGTCCACCCATTGGACCACCTCCACAAGGTCCATCAAGATACACCGGGCTGCTGAAGATCCCTCACCAGCCGCATGCGATAGACGAGGCACCGAAGGTGATGAGGAGCGCCTCCAGCAGGTGCTACCCGTCCACGAGCCGACCCGCAAAAGCTCCAGGAGTGGTCGTCCTGGTTTGGATAGCCCTAGTAAGCATCGCCCTGGCTCGTGATTTGGCCTGGTCACCGCGGTCCTCTAATCGATTCTCGAAATCCTGCAGACTTGGGTTTCATGGTTTGGCATTTCGCTTTGAGGTTGGTGCTTGGAATCTTGGTCGGTAAGGTTTGGGGTTTCCGGTGTTTCAGTGACGGGGCACGCTGGTGCTGAAAGAATCCCAGAACGCACCCCGAACGGTATCAGCCCACCCCTAGTGTCGCTTCACATGATTTCGACCTGTGCTCAAGGCTTTCTTGCATTTTGATCACGCGCTTGCTCTTTCATTCATGTTTCAGCTTCATTCAACTTTCTTTTGCTTTGACACGTTGGAAATCGCTTCGAAATTTTCCAAGACTTGTGATTCATAGCTGCGGCTATTTGATTTTACCTTGAAAAAGCTTCCGTTGCTAGGTTCCAAACAAGCCCTTTGGCAAGCTATGTAGCAGTGCGATGCAGTGCTTATCGGCGTCCTTGCGGCCAAAATCAGAGCCATTCTAATTTGCTGCTATCATCTTAGGAGTACGTCTGAAAGGAGCAGCTTCCGACTTATATCCCTTTTCCAAGATGATTCGAGAGCAGAAAACAAACAGATCAACAGGCCTCTTCGCCATACAGCCTGTCAGCAAGCCTGAGGCAATGCCAAACATCATGTCTGACATGGAGCTGCAACACAGAAAGAAACTCCCACAAGCCCGCACCAGCGTAGTTGACTTGCTGGCGCATCGCGAAAGATCCTATTCGCCTGCAAGAACGTCACCAAGACCTGCAGCTAAATGCGTTCAACATTGCGATGATTTGAAGGTTGGGAATGCAACAACTGTACAGACCACAGTCTGCAATGTTCAATTTTGCAAGGCAGGCCAACACCAAAATCACCAGAACTCATGCATATGCACAACCGTCCGGACTTCCGGCCAACAACAGCATTGTATCATGGGTCTGGTAGCAAATAGCAGATGACACGCATGAACAAAAATGTCAAGAGAGGATCTGGACAGACATAGATAGTAAAGGCGGTGATCACGCTGAGCAGAACGTAGGAGGGGGAGAAAAAGAAGACGGAGAGAGAGGAGTAGGAGGCGGGGTGATGCGGAAGAAGACAACGAGGCAAGGCACGCATGGAACAACCTAACATGCAACAAGACAACAGGAGCAATGAAGGATTGCAAAGTCAAGGCATGCTTTGTACCGATGTAAGTTGATGAGGAAGACGAGCATGGTCATTCGAGTGACGGCGATGACGTTTGCAACTTCTACTGCCACGATGAATCAGATGATGTTAACAATGATGTGGATAGTAATGATGATGCTGATGATGATGGTGTTGACCGTGACGATCATGATGTTGATGATGAAGACCGTGACGCGTTTCCAAACAATAACGACAATCGTATGCATCTTAACCTACATCGGCAACTACGATAACGATGACAATGAAAATGCTGGGAGCAACATTTTTTTCCCCTGCAATGGCTCCCTAGGCATCAGCACACTACTTCAGGTGGTCGGTAACCTAAAGAGAGTAGCCACGTCAATGACTATGATGGCACGGACAGATGTAATGAGAGAAGATGCGTGCAACGCATGGGGACATGTGATCATAGATGAGAAAATACAGATGTACATGATGCTGGCGAATGACAATGACTGTTCTAATAGTGCGCCTCATGTGTAAAAAGATTGAAAAAGAATCCATACTTTACCGATTTGCACATCTTCTCCGACATTACCTTTGGTTCAACTCCTAGCTTAGCTGGGTCTGCGCTTCCATGAATACAGGCCAAAAAACAAGATCTGCTGCCGAATCTGAATCTCGACTTCCGAACCTAACAAATGCACGCGACCCTCTGAAAATGAAAACCTGCCGTGTACAACTTCAGTGCTCAAAAGCCAGTCGACACATAGTACATGGAAATACTGCGTGATTTCGGAGTACATCATAATCATCGCTTATTGTCCCTTAGACTTCTGAGGTCCTTGCGTTTGTTTCACCCGCGTCTTCAATCTCTCTGTAGACGTCCTCTTCTTTTCAATCTTGCAACAAGCACCTTGCCAGCCGGGTTGGCAGGCCTCTTCTTCTTGAGGACTTAACCAAGAGCCGAGCGCCCGCTCCTGCCAGTTGCTGAGACTGACAGGCAGATTGATCCATGTTGTGCTTGCTGTGTCCTGGTGTGCGACTCCTTCCAGAGAATGCAGATCAATGCTCGACAAACAAAATGTCTCGCTTGTATTCGCAGCCTTGCAATTCCTCACCATCTTGTGAACTGTCCTTTGAAGATGCAGTGGCTAGTGGTTTTCAGAACCTACAAGTAAGACCCTACGCCTCTGCCATCTTCCTCTGCTTGAGAACACACCAGACCTGCCAGGTTCTGAAAATGAGCACATTGAGCAGACAGAGTGCAGGTGCCTTGCGCAAGTCTGGCTCCTCCAAAGGCCGAGTATGCCTCCCAACCTGCAGCAGTTCTTCGCGCTCACGTGTCTTGGCCACTTGGATCGATCTACATTTAGCATCTAGGGGCAGTGCTTCCAAGTCTTGGCGGGCAATCATGGATGCCTCGCAAGTCTGAAAGTCATTAAAACAGCGGCCAGCATCAAATCGATGCAAGTCCGGCTTTGTCCTGCCTGCTCGTGCACGGACATCCGGCCCTGCAGCTCATGCTGTTGCCCAAAATCTGACAGGCAGCTTAACACACCGCCTCTAAAGTGGCAGCACAGAGCAGATTTGTAGTTGTTTGGCAGACAGCAAATCAAGTCCACGCATGTTGCCTTTGCTGGAAATGATCCACAGGTCAGAAAGACTGCCATGCAGAAAGCAGCACTGATCCCGTAAGAACAAGTCAGGTGCTTAGGATACTGTTCAATAGTCTTTGCACTCGTGATGGTGCGCAAAAGGAGCAAGGAAAGGCCTGTGGCTCGCCTGCAGGGCAAAATGTTGCATAAGATGCTCTCACCGTAACGAATGCAAGTTTCATGATGATGTAGCTGGGTCTAGGGCCGCTCTCGTCATCACTGATGCCACCTACGCCAAGTCACACAATCGAAAAATTCAAGAGAAGTTCTGCTGGGGCTGAGAAAGAACCTCCACGTACAACTGCCCTCCCCTAGGACACACCTTTGGATGGATGGATGGATACAGTCGACCAGCAGGGATCTGCGGCCTCAAGCCTCAGGATACTGTCCCTCTCGCCACCGCACAGGAGCCTCCGAAACCATCATCGGCAACCCTCCGGCTCAGAGTTCAAGGCAACGTAGACTGGCCGCTTCAAGAATGCAGCCACGAACTCCCCTGTACCCATGCAGACGCCAAAGCGCACAGGGAAGATGGTGGTGGGTCCATGTTAAACTGAAGTGCAAGTAGTGCACCCACCAATCCTCCATTCCGTCCCTGCACCCTTGAGGCCCAGGCCATGAAAACACCAGCAAGGATCCAGGATGGTGCACCAAACATTATGGGCTGCAAGGATTCATCAGCATGGCAACACTTTGCCAGCTGGCGGCGGTAACAGCCGGTAGGACCCACCTTTAATCCAAATGACCTCCCGTTTTGCACCTGGGGCGGGTCAATCAGGTTGTGACGAATGGGGTCAGTGCCTCCTCCTTTGACCGAGGCAGTCTCCCCTGACCAACCCTGTGCACTGCAAGATTTATAGGGGAGCACACTGGTGATGGAATCGCTCCTCACATCAGCCTTGAGCTTTCTGCGTGTCATTTGCAAGGACTCATGAAGGAGCTGACACAAGAGCGTCATGGTAAAGTTCGTAGTGCTATGCCTTTGCAATGTCCGACCATGTTTCCAAACATGACCGCGAATTCCATGCCCAAGCAGCCAAGCTCCCTCTGCCGCATTTGCTTGGATACGTTGTGTACTGTGAAGTGCCGCTTACTGACAGGGAGGCAAGCTTCACAACTGCCATGGTGTCCCAATTGCTCGCTTACGCTCCACATCCATCAGGGCGTGCTAAACTACGGTCTGACACAGCTATTGTCGTATACTTTGGCTAAAGGAGGCTAGCCGTGAACAGAAAATGAGACAGCCGGCAGTGCAGCATAATTCAACCCTCACGAATTACAGAAGCAGCGCTGGAGATCACCCAACTGGCCTTCATGTGAGTCCTCCTCGAGAGGGACAAAGCCGACACCCTGCAAATCATGAAAGAATTTGCTAAGAAAAACTGTGTGCGTGTGTGTGAAGGGAAGGCAGACCTGTTGCCGCTTCTTTGCTAAGACTCGCGTCCTGAAAGCGTGAAGGCTCGCGAAACAAACACAGTGGCTTTTAGGCCAAATTTAGGGGAAGCTGGCCTGGCACGCATCCAGGACACTGCGGCAGCTGTGCCATATCTCTCCCTGCCCTGACGTTCTAACATGTTCTCAGATTCGAATCTGCTCGAAATTTATTCAGATGGCACGGAGCACCTCTTCCGCCTCCATCGGAGAGGAGCATCAAGGCCTACCTGAGTTCTGAAATGTTTGGCAACAGAAAAACCCAAAAGCCAACGTTGTCCAATGTGACAAAAATATGGTTTTCCTATACACTTCACTGAAACACCCCTTTCCTGTGGCGCTGCTAAGTGTCCTTGGTGTCTGGTCCTGAGCCTATACACAGCATTTCACATGCTGGTTGCTCATGCAAAGCATTCTTGAACTCTAGCTACATAAAGGCAGTAATGCTTAACACCCCACCTTCGAAGTATCTGCAAGGATACTATGTATCCTAAAGGAACTTCTACATAAGCTTCCCTGCTACCGTGGGAAATGTAACTCCATTACACACATCACTGCTTGCAAATTATTCTTTCACAAAAAAACGTCTGTACAACATCCTATACGATCTGGATATGCAC